AATCAGGGAGAGAAGCAACCTAGAACTAAGGAGGAATTTCCTGACAGTGAGAACAATTAACCAGTGGAACTGCTTGCCACCAGAAACTGTGAATGCTCCAACACTGGAAGTTTTAAAGAAAGAGATTGGACAACCATTTGTCTGAAATGGGGTTGGGTTTCCTGCCTAAGCAGGGGGTTGGACTAGAAGACCTCCAGGATCCTTTCCAACTTCGTTATTCTGCTTTAATCGGTGTAAAGCAGGAGAAGGCAGGCACGTTTGTGACAGTAGCTGTTGTTGGGGTGCCAGGTTGTGTTGGAGTGACACTTGCTGTGGGTGAAAAGGAAGGGGCTGCATAGGCAGTCCTCAGCTTACAACCACAATTGAGCCGCCCAAATTTCTGTTGTTAAGAGAAGACGGTTAAGTGAGTTTTGTCCCATTTTATGACTTGCTTGCCCCAGACATTAATCGGATCACTACAGTCCTTATGTTAGTAATATGGTTGTTAAGGGAATCTGGCTTCCCCGTGGACTTTGCTTGTCAGAAGGTCGCAAAAGGGGATCGGGTGACTCCAGGACGCTGCAGCTGCAGTTGCCAAGCGTCTGAATTTTGATCCCATGGGGTTATAAGTGTGAAAAATGGTCCTGTCACGTTTTTCAGCGTCATTGTAACTTGAATGAATGTTCAATTGAACAGGTGGTTGTAAGTCGAGGATGCCTGTACTTCCGTTTTCTGTATGCAGGGAGACCTGTGGGCAAGTGTGAGGGACACTATTCCCATGTTGCCTTGGGCTCCATGAGGGTTCTGACCAAGGCTTCCAAGACCATAATTAAGCACACGCTCAGTTAAAACAATTCCTGTTTTATTTCAACGCTGGGAATTATGTTCATTCCCAGCCCGTAATGAGTCCCAAACAGTCCCTCGAGATAAGCACCCACCTTTCTCTCCTTTGAATTGCTGCCAACAACTAAAGTGCCAAATGAATTATAAAAAACCAACCGAAGTACAAAGTCCACACAGAGCTTCAAGGTTGAATCCGAACTGAACGAAAGACTTTGCTTCCTGCAAAGGTTCCTCTACCTTTGCCTGTCCTTTATACCTTAGGGAAGGGGCAATCACCTCCAAGCCTTACTCCCAAGTTGCTCCTTTTGTTTTAGCTGCTCTTGCCTTCTAGCAGCTCTGTGCATACGCACACTGGGAACAGGCTCCCCTGGTTCCTCTGCCTCGCTGCTGCCAGATTCTGGAGGCTCCAGAGTCAGCACCCCACTCCCAGATGGTCCTGGCCCCATCTCTGCATTGGACGCAGGACCCTCCTCCCAGTCCTCCCCAGACTCCCGGACTGGTCCCCGTTCTTCCCCACTGTCCGATTCCACTGCCGTCTGCACCAGCTGCTGGCAGACCACAACAATGAGGAGAAAAATCACCAGTACAGTCAGTCCTCAACTTACAACAGTTCATTTAATGACTGCTCAAGGTTACAACGGCAGGGGAAAAAAGTGACTTAGGACCGTTTTTCACAGTTGCAACCTTTGTCGCCTCCCCCTGATCGTGTGATCGAAATTCAGACGCTCGGCAACTGGTTCCATATTTATGACTGTTGCCGTGTCCCCTATTGCGACCTTCTGACAAATCAAGTCGAGGGGCAAGCCAGATTTACTTAACAACCGGGTGGACTAATTTAACAAATGCAGTGATTCACTGAACAACTGTGGCATGAAAGGTCATAAAATGGGGGCAAAATTCACTTAACCAATGTCTCACTTAATGGCAGACATCTTGGGCTCCCTTGTGATCCTAAGTCGAGGACTGGCTGCCCCTTAAATCAAGGGTTTTGGGGGTCTCTCCAGCTCAGCTGGAATGGGGGGTGATGACTTTACTTGACTAGTTTATGTTACTTTACTTTTCTACTTTACTTTTCTTTACTGTTTTACATTACTACTTTACTTTATTATTTCACTGCTTTACTTTATTATTTCACTGCTTTACTTTATTATTTCACTACTTTATTATTTTACTGCTTTACTTTATTATTTTACTGCTTTAATTTATTATTTTACTGCTTTACTTTATTATTTCACTACTTTACTTTATTATTTCACTGCTTTACTTTATTATTTCACTACTTTACTTAATTATTTTACTACTTTACTTTATTATTTTACTACTTTACTTTATTATTTCACTGCTTTACTTTATTATTTTACTACTTTACTTTATTATTTTACTACTTTATTATTTCACTGCTTTACTGTATTATTTTACTGCTTTACTTTATTATTTCACTGCTTTACTACTTTACTGCTTTACTTTAATCCTTTACTACTTTACGGTCACTGCACCTCCTACAACGAAATTAAATTCCATCTTCAGTGTACATTATATAACTATAAAAATAAAACACAAACGCACATCCTTCACACTCCACACACTGAATTGAAAACCCGCAACACTGCACCAAAACTGCATTATATACAGTAGAATTCGACAGAGCTCCTGCCCTGGGATAGAAGCTGTTTTTCAGCCTTTTTGTCCTTGTTTTTATTATTCTGTACCGTCTGCCAGATGGTAATAGTTCAAAAAAAACCAACAACCACCAAACCCTATTTCCAGGACATTGGCGTGATTCTCTTGTGCTTTTGTGTTGCTTGCAGAGTCCTGGAGAGCCTGTTGGTGTGTCTGACAACCACGCTTGTGATATTTGTTGCTTCGATGCTTCTCGGGGAATGCCGGCCACTCTCTTCCGCTGACCACGGGGACAACAGCTCCGCCCTCAGCCTGCAGGTGAGCGGGGAACGTTTCATGCTTACGCGCCTCAAAAGGTGGAGGTGTATCTCAGTGTCACCTCTGGGGTTTTATAAAATCCTTTTTAAACCCTTCCTTCCATTTTGAAGGTTGCCAGGGAAACGGTTGCAGAGCCCCAGGACAAGTCTTGGGGGGGGGGGACTCCCTTTTAGAGGATAGATAGAGGAAGTCCTCGCCTTACGACCACAGTCAAGCCCAATGTGTCTGTTACTAAGAGAGACGTTTGCTAAGTGAATTTTGCAACCTTTCTTGACACGGTTTTACTTATTCATTTGATTTATTTTAGAAAATTTATCTTGCCGCCTGCTCACACTTGGCGACACAAGGTGGCGGACACGAATATCCAAACCATGTAAAAGAAATAAAAAGAAAGATAATAAAATCTATATATATATATAAAAGCGAAAGACCACTACATGGATCATCACAAAATCTCCAGAACCGTAAAGCCTATAAACTTGAAATTGGGCACGTATCTTCCTCTTGGCTCCCTAACAAAGGACTTTTCGAAATGACCATCAGACCCATTAGCATTTCCTATATTATTATTATTATTAACACGCTCTGATGCTAAGGAGTTCTACTCCCCCTCCCCACCTGAAAAGAAATCTCTTCCAAATGCAAAACACAAGCAGAGGAGAGGAGTTTCAGTTTCAGAGCACCAAGCAGCTTTAGTATAGAACAGTTGAGCTAAGCCACACCCAGGCTCCTTGCTGTCTCCTTGCTCACATAGTAAATGCTGCTTCAGTTTCCAAACAGCCCTCAGTTCTCTCACACACTGACAGGATGCTAGCCAGATGAATATGGATGGATGCTAGTAGGCAGAGGCAGAATTTTCCCCCCTTATTTTCCTCCCCAAAAACTAAGCCCGACCACAGAGTTTCGTAATGAAGCCACGGGTATTGTAATAAATTAGGAAAATAATCACCCACCCTGGTGACAGCACACATTCATACCAACCATTTCAGGGGCTCCATCTCACTCTGGGGTCCCCAGGCCCCTCTGGCAGAACTGCGTCCCAAGTGAAGGCGCCATCTTGAAAGGTTGCAGCCCTTCGGGGGCCTTGAGAGGTAAATTTTTTAGGGATGCCTGACATGATTTTGGAACCGGAGTTCAAATGCGGCTGCTTGTTTTCTGTCAAGGATTCTTCATCGGAGGAGGTTAATTCAAGCATCAAGACATTCTTCTGTCATAATAATACTTACAACGACATGGCAACCCTGTTCTTCAACCCGCAAGAGTCGGCCATCTTACAACTGTTTCATCAGGAGGGTGAGTGCCTGATCCCAGCCCTGCTCGTTCCGGAGCTGCGAGGAAAAGAACGGGCTATTTTCTCTGTTTTTATGCTTGCCTTCCTCGGTGGATTGGGCAGGGGCTCCAGAGCAGAGGTCTCCAACCTTTTGGACCTCAGGGACCACCAAGCTCATAAATTTAAACCCCGCGGACCACTAATATGAATTTTGACTGACGGTGGCTTGCTGACGTTGGTGGGAAAGTCGGTCCCATATTCCTGAGCTTCAGTAATCACAGGACTGGCCCTTTGGTCATCCTGGAGCAGCTACTCCTCCACCCGGGTGCACCGGCCTGCCACGGACTGGAGGAGGTGCTCCGGGATGACCAAAGGGCCAGTCCTGTGACAACTGCAGCTCAGGAATATGGGACCGACTTTCCCACCAACGTCAGCAAGCCACCCTGGGGCGGATTTTCCTCCTCTGGCGTTGGTCTTACCTTCCAGTTCCAGCTCGCGTGGCTCTACTCAAGGTAAGGTTTGCGCTCGGCCAAAGGGTGGGCAGACCATGTGGGCGGCACAGCCTTGTGTTCCCGCACAGCCTAGATTAATTGCTTTGGAGGCGGGGGGACATTTCTCTGCAGGCCACCAAAATTTTCTCACGGACCACCAGTGGTCCCCGGCTCACCGGTTGGTGACCACTGCTTCAGAGGGTCCCGGTTAGAAATTTGGAGGAGTCTTAATTTGAGATGAAATTCAGGGAGCTGGGGTTTTCATGGTCTTGGAATTCATGGCTTGAGGGAGGTGCATTTTTAACCAACTTCAGGGAGTCCATAAATTCTCCAAGGTGGCCAACAGCGTCTAAAATTCTCGCGTTTGAAAGTAGTGTGAAAACAAGAGGAAATTGCACAGGTTTTAAGTCCTCCTTCCCTGCTTCTGTGGGACTAGCAGTTCAAATTTCCTGGTCTTGGTCTCTCTTGCACGAGAACAGATCGTTTCTGTTGTCTGCCTTCTCGTGGATGTGAGATGCAAGACTCAAATTATTTAATACAATGCAGAGACAGGTCTGGTTCACAATTCAAAGGTTTATTAAAGAAAATAAGTGTTTGCAAATGGGCCTTCAAGTCCCTTCCAAAGTGGATTGGGTACAAGAAGAGCAAGATCTAATGGTCAAACAATAACATGTTATACACCCTACACAATGCACGCCATGCCTAAGAAGCCCTTCCCACACCCCTTAATATCTCTTAGTCATATTACTATAAGGTAAAGGGTCAGCTTGACCGTTTCTTCCTAGGCACCGGATACCTTATCTGGTTTACTTGTAGCTTGGCCTTGGGCGGATGTCCCTATCTTATGTGTCTGGTTTATTTTGCCTGGGTGGATGTTCCTGTTTTCTAAGAAGCCTGCAACTATCCAAGCACATTTTGTTTAAATGAACATCCTTTGTGATTAGGGTACGGCAACAAAGACAACACAGCTTAATAATGCACTTAATATTTCTAATTCTATTATAAAAGAGTAACTTAATATTTATTTCCTTCAGGGAGATCCATTCGGATCACCCTATTGGCTGGGAGATTATGAGAAACTGTTGGTTGAATTTATCATAGAATTAATAAATTTCCACCCATGCCTATGTTTGTACTGGGTTTGAACCAGGGGTGGGATTCAATTTTTTTAACAACCAGTTCTGTGGCATGGCTTAGTTGGTGGGTGTGGCTTGGTGGTCATGTGACTGGGTGGGCGTGTCCAACTCAACATCCCTCACATCAAGGCACGCATCTCCTCGCCTGGCCTCTCATGACTGTGGGGATGCTGCAACAGTCATAAGTGTGAAAAATGGTCATAAGTCACTTTTTTCAGTGCCATTGTAACTTTGAATGGTCACTCCACACAAGCAAAGTACTAGCAAAGGAGGGGAAAAAACTCCAGAGAAGTTCCTGAGACAGGAAGTCTAGTCCTGCCAAGAATGTAATAAGGGTTAACGGAGAGGCAGTTTCTGTAAGCAACACCAGAATGTTTCCTTCCTGCCTTCCTTACAGGATTAGCCCAGTAATTTCTTCTAACCGGTTCTCCGAACTGCTTAGAATGTTAACAACCGGTTCCAATGAATAGGTGCGAACTGGTAGAATCTCACCCCTGGTTTGAACCAGTGCCACCATAAGTCTAATTTTGCTGGCCTAAACTACCTGCAAACTGATCTATTGATTTATACATACATATTGTGTTTCCCCCAAAATTTGACCTATCCTGAAAACAAGCCCTAGCCCGATTTTCACACCTGCATCTAATAAAAGCCCTATCCCAAAAATGAGCCCCTAGTTAAGCCCCACCCACCATCTGGTTGTATGAAGTGGGGTGAGGTGCAGGCGTAAAAATCTAGTGCGCGGGTGGGGGTGGAGCTGCCCCATGCACCCCGTACCCGCTTATCTTAGGACCGCCACAGCCAGGCCTCCCACACCCAGGAGGCGGCGAGGCTCGTCGTGCTGGTGCAGCCGCTCCTGCGCGCAACAACACACCACACCACGCGGTGCCCTGCGAGCAGCTGCAACGACGCAATGAACCTCACGGCTTTCTGTCACAAGTGGCTGTGACCAGGGCCATGAGTCACGCGGTGTCTAGCTGCGAGCGGCCGCAGAAGATGTCAGGCAACCGCACAGTAGGTGTCAGGGCGTGGGAGGCCTGGCTGCTGTGGCCCTAAGGTAAGCGGGCAAGACATCCCCCGAAAATAAGGCCTGGTGTTGATTTTGGGGGCGAAAATAAAATAAGATTGGGTCTTTTCAGGGAAACACGATACATAAA